TACAAAATGAGCAATCCATTTTCACTTAATCTCTGGCTACTAGTAATATAGGAGTTTTGAAAGCCTCACTCTGAACTGGGACCTGTATTTTCTAATAATGCAGCTATTCTTAACAGTAATATATTCATGCAATCATGTGGTAACGATTCAGGTGTGTCAGAATGCCAATATTCTCCTCCTGAACTCTGTCTTCTAAATGTAAATTACCAAGATAAACTAGGCACACAAGATACAATCAGATGACTTCAAATCATCATACCATCTGAACGGAAACATGCCCTACTAATATTTGTCCAATTCCTTGTTCTCAAAGCCAGTGCAAATTCTATTGTTTAGTTGAATTTTGAATATTCAAATCTAAGATTGTTAGCTACATAATGCATATTATTCCAGATACTGTCTACTGAGTCATGCTGACAAAGCAGCTCAGTAGTCATATAAATTGCCAGTAACTTCTCAACAGGGTCCAAAGGACAACAGGATATAATCTTATCTGAGGTATTTGAATTACATAGTTAATCTAATACTGGCACCCACATGGGATGGAAAGTGACCCACCTAGTTATTATCTTATTCAAGAGATATTTATCATAGATTCCTCTTTGCTCTGTTTGCTTAGAAAAGAAAACCATTGCATCATGCCTCAGGTATATCAATTTAAAGTATTATTATATTAATTGCATTTTTATCCCACCTTTCCCTCCAAGGAACCCAAACCAGGATATATGATCTTCCTCCTCTCCATTTTATCCTCACAACAACCCAGTAAAATATTGGAAATACATACAACTGGAAACCTCAGTGGAAAGGAGTTAGCAGCTTGTCCATACTAAAGACTAGATGGCAGATTCTTAACCTATAAAGCTTGATAACCACCAAAAGGAAGTGTCTGCATGGACTTCAACAGATTACATTGTGGTCTTTTTTAAGACATGAAAATGCTTCCCCACACCTGCATGTACTATGACTAGTAACAAAGACAAACAAGAAAGATGGATTTTAGACAACTGCCGGAACTTTGTCACTAAAAATCAATGAAGGAACCATATTGAATCAGTGTTCCCTTAACCGAAGAAGACAGAACTAGCAGGGAACGACATGCCATTTCAGAGATTCTAAGCTATACTGCTGCTCTCCAGGAATAAAACTGAACTACTAACACAGTTTTGTAGCATTCGTCTTGTGATGCATCATACAATCCTCTATCAAGCCATACATTCCACTTCTAAAAATTTCCAATTCTTAGATTCTTTAAAGATAAAAGAACACAATACATAGAGATGCTTTCATTTGGATTTTTAAAATCTATAGTTGAATACAGCAGGTTTGGCCACATGTACTTATGTTATGGTTACATCCAAGTTGGGCTAAACAGACATGTGGTTGGCCATGAAGAGGGCTCTGGAACTTCATATGGTCCAAAATGTAGCATACTGACTTCTGATCCCAAAATGTAGATTTCATATCAGTTATGCTGGCCACTAGTATGTGCCCAGACACAATTCAAGGTGCTGGTGTTAACCTTCAGAGCTCTAAACAGTTTTGGACAAGGATACCTGAGAAATCGTTTCACTACACATGTACCTCCTTGGGTGCTTTCATCAGCACCTGATGCCCTGCTCCATGCATTTAGGAATGAGTGGTATAGGCACAAGCAACAATCCACTTTCAGTTGAGGCGCCACATTTGTGTAGCACCCTGCCAAGGAAGGAATGTGAGCACTTTTTAGTAAATGCTATTTAAAGGATTAGTAATTTTTAATAAATGCTGTTTGGGGGATGAATAAGAAGTGTCCTGCTGAATATACTCTTTCTTTTGTGATGCTGCTCTCTTGTACATCTTTGGTACATCTTGGATATATTTTTATTATTAAAATTGTAGGTCTGATTCTCTACTTTTTATAAGTGGCCTTAGTGTTCCCCTGGGGCTGAAAGTTTTGTACGTGAAGTATTGGAGATAGGCAGATAAATACATTCCAGCAATGCTAAAGTGAGATACTTTTGAAATGTTGTAGCTTAACATATCTTACCCAAGACAACTATTAGGAGGCAGCAAAGACAATAGGGAAAGTCTCGGTAAAAATTCACCAAAATCAGAACCTTTCCTATTAACCCAAACTTACCAGAAAAAATATTCTACTCACCTGCCTGCCCAGAGAAGTACAAGTTTTCTATTTGTGAGATACCAAAAATCTAAAAGAATTACCATCTCTCAAGCTAACAAAAAAAGCTTCCCCATCATCACCTGGAAGAAACCTTTACTCTCCACAGATGACTAAGTATTAATTTATACATTTGTTTAACTACTCCTTAAAATTTCTCAAACACTGCATGTTGTATATTCTCCAACTAACCTGATTTAAGAGCAGTAGCAAATGCAACCTCATGACTTGACAGCTAAACAAGCACCTTGACCCTGTTAAGCAGAGCCAAGCTATCCATGCACTTACAGAAACCTTATTACCAGGAAATCTCTGCTTCTTTGGTACCATTTGGTCCCTCTGTTCTCTGCAATCCTTTGAACTCTAAGATGAAGAGCATAACTGGACTACCCAAAACACTAGAAACCGATGTAGTGCCCTAGAAACTGATGTAGGATGCTCTGTACTGTATGGAGTCCTTCATGTCATAATATTGAAGGTTATTACTATGCCAGACCCAACTTTGCTCCTGCTCCCGGCACAATGCCAGAAGCTGTGAAATATAACTATACAATTACATAAAATAAGGTTTTCTGAAGGTCAATGAAGTGCTGCCATTTACTTCCATTTTCATCCACTCACTATAATTTGCTAAGGCAGCCATGTAAGCCATGCCAAATGCTTACCACACACTAAGTTAAAAAAAAAAACCTATCAAGCAGAACTTCTCTCTAGAAGCCTTTGAGAATTAAATTCAGCCATGTTCTAGGAGTAGCCTAAACAGCAACAAATAATACACAAAGAGGCTGCATGTCCAAATGAAGATGACCATCTGTCCTTATGTTTCACTTTTCCCCATTCTGAATGGTGGTTAAATACCACTGCTGTACTAGAAGATTAATATTGATGGAACAAATAATGAAAACAAAGGAATGCTAAGTGAGCTTATAGTTTTACATGTTTACTTACAGCAAATAACTCTAAACCTTCTGGTCTATATTTTAGCAAGGGAGAAAAAGATACAAGTGGAAACAAAATATACAGCGCAGCATGAGTGAGTTAGTGAATGACTTAAAATCAGTATATTAGGTGACCTAATTTAGGAGGAGAGATCATCACTGTTCTTTAAAGTAATACAGATTCAGATAATAGCTATAGTTAAAAGGTTAACATGAGTGAAATGCTTTCATATACAGAAATTCAAGGAAACAGAAATGTTGGCCCTCTGCTGAGCTTCAAATATGCTTATATTCTACACAATATTTGCCAACTCAATTAATAAGAAATACCTGCAGACGAGCAATTATTCAGAATGCTGGCTAAAAGCTGTCCTACCCATCCTCACCTGAAAAACCATTTGGTACTTGCCTGAAAAGAAACAGACACTACTCAGAGTTGTATAGTAATTTTCATGGCCAGAACAAAGCCAATAGATTCTTGTTGTATAAACAGGACATTTAACTGAGTAGAACAGATTTCTAATTGTGATCAGTAATTATAAAAAGTAACCCATTTTACACTTAACAGAAGAAATGGATTGATTTAGTAGAGTTACCTGCATAGTTTTGCTGTATTTGCTCCATGAAAAGAATAGCTTACTTGCATGAATCTATTTGATATGAAAGGAGGAAGTGTGGTCTTAAAAGTGTATCTGGATGTTTAAAATGACTAGGATACTCTTTAAACAATACACGTTGAAAAATTCAATAATTTCACTCTGCCACTTCATTAGGGTCAAAGGGAGCCCATCTCTGGCAAGCAAGGGGAGCCCACGGCTTCATCTGAATTCTGGAAAGCAAAGGAAAGAAGACAAACTTTCCCCCTGGAAGACTAGGGCATAGAGCTGGAGTGGAATGGTAAAAGCTTGCCTCTGCTCCTTAGGGCCAGCCAAATTATGTGGACTCCCTATACAATTAAAAAATTGGGCTTTAATTTAAGACCACAAACATCCAACTCAGCCCAAAATGTTATATAACTAACTAGAGAATCATGGAAATCCCAAAGCACTGCAAGTTGTCTTTAAATGCAAAGGAGCACATGCTAGTTAGAACAGACACATCAACTACAGAAATACATTTGTGGGTCTGTGTGAGCAATCTCTCACTGAAGTGGATTTACAGAAGATGTACCACAAAAGGCAACTGATGAACTGACAACTTAGAAGACAAAATCCATTATACTGAAGGCTGCCTTTAGACTTGATACTATAAAACAATGTAAAGGAAAAAGCAAGATCATATTAAGCAGGTTTAGAAGATCACATTTAAAGTTGCAGTTTTTTCTATTTGCTTTACAATGCATTTTTTTCTATCTGCTTGTTTTTCTATACGCAATTTTTCTATATGCTTTATAACGATTCTATGCTGGGTTGTCTAAATTAGTCTGAAGCGATATTATCTAAAGTCCAATGCTAACCGCATTTCATATTGGCAGAAAAATCTTAGTTCAACATGCTTTTTAGAAGAAATGTTGAAAAACATCTTCTGAAGCCATATGCCTGAGTATAAAATGCTGTGAGTTTTATTCATTCTTTCATTATAAAAATCTTGCTAACATAAACCTGCAATTCACATTTTTTAAAAGGCCTAACTTAGACCTACACTGGCGTTCTGTGCTTGTCAAATTTGGGTTTTGACAAAAGCATCTATGCGTATCTTGTTCAGTACATCTTATCTGATGCTCAGTTTATTTCTGGGGGCCTTTAAAAAACTGCCAAATTCAGCCTTACTCTGCAAGAATGAACCTCAAATTGGAACAGGCTGCCCAGTACAACCTGATGGTGCAACACACATAGTTCAGTTGTGACATTTCACTACTTTCCTTATAACTCCATTATTGAAGTTAAGTTACAATTTGTTACCTCCACAATATCTGAGTTGGTTCTGCTCTCATGGGGTTCGTTGTACTCAGTATATTTGAGTAGAACTTTGTCCATATCCGTGCTGGCATATTGAAAGAGTTTGTTAGAACTGTTAAAAATGATGAGTGCTATTTCACAGTCACAAAGCACACTCAGTTCATAGGCTTTCTTCATTAATCCAAACTTCCTTTTTGTGAAGGTCACCTATATAAGAAAGAAAGGGCTTTTTAGAAAACCTGCAGAACATTTTTAATAGTGATCAAGGTCTGTTAGCATGTATTCAATTCAACTGGACAAACTTTAAACATAGCATAGAATAGCAGGTTTTGCAATTAGCTATGATGGGGATGGGAGGAGAGAACAAGATTCAAAGAGCTTTTTTAATAGTTTAAAGAATTTGGGATTTTCACCTTTCTTCCTCAGCACCTCTTCATGGAACATGACAAACTGCTTTTGAAAGACTGCTCTGTTCCAAAAGCAAGTTGCCATGTGGCAGACAAGTAGTTGCACTCCTGGAATGATTTCTAAATACCCAAAAACAGAAGTAGGCAAAGTATTTTTCATTCTGGCAGCTTACTTTAGGTATCTTCCATTAATTTTCTGCCAAGTACGAAAAATGATTTTTAAAAACTCAATAAATCTGAACTAATGTCTAGCACTTTCCAAGTTTATCCTCCATCCTTCCCCAAATTAGTGACCATGTAATACAGAATCATACTGATCACTTGCGTATAAATGGAGAAAACATATTTGGGAAACTAGCTGACCTTCTATATGGATTAGTTCTAGTGTTACCAATCAAAAGCATTGGGCAGCTATTCCATTTTGTCTTGTCTTGTCTCCCTTAAAACTTCTCGTGCAAAGAAAAGAAGATGGAAAAACCCCACACAGAAGGATTTCAAGGAGAAGATGGCATCAGAACTCTGCATAAAATTCAGTGAGTGAAGTACACTGCACATAAAAACTTTGTCTGGAAGTACCCAGCACAACACAACACATACTAAGCTTACCAGTAACCACCTGCCTGCTCCAACTGTTTATGTGATAGTTCTACATCCCATGTTTATGTTTTCAGCAACAATATGATGCTACAAGGAGATCAGGCAGAGAGTTCCTGAACTCAAGTCATTTAGCTCACTATGAATACCTTAACCAAGCAAAATGAGCATATATAACTAGACTGCCAGTTCCAGAGCTGGACCTGCAACAAGGTCAATATGGCTCAGGAAAAAAAAATATCTTGTTACAAGGAATACAGCAGAGTTGGTTGAAGGGCAAAAAGCCCAGGAGAGGTCAACCTAATTCATTTACCTACATATTGGCTGTACAAGTCTGAAGAGACCAAAACAAAAAACAAAAAAACACCAACCTGTATTATTTGAGAGGCAATGAATGCTGTTTCCTCTTACATATTATCCCCTAAAGTAAGTCTGACATTTGGTTCAACAAATAAAGGGAAAACAAGACTTCAATAATGTGTTCAAGCATATTGCTTTTCTGAAAGATTCCCACCACTAAGTAGATAAAAAAATCACTTAAGCTAAGAACAGTCATTATTAAATACTCCTAATACTGTAAAAACAGATGTGTGAAACTATTCTTAGAGACAGACACAACAAAGTTGCTCCCAAAGGACCACAGAATTTCTATAAACCAAAGAAATATAAAGTGGTTCTTTATCTGAATCCACCTATGTGCTTACTCTTACTTTTGGGACATTGCCCAAATGTGTAAGAAATGGGACCAATGCACTGGACAAGGAGTCTTGCCTAGCAGATACTGTAACAAGAAAAAGAAGGCTCAGACAAGCCAATGACAAAGCTACAGCAGGTCTAATCTACCATGGACTGTTCAGGAATTCATCTGCATAATTCAGGAAGTGCCCAAAAATAACTGAGCTCCAAAGATGGATTTTAAGAGATGTTCTAATTGTACATGTGTCTTTAGCAAAGATCAGTTCTCCATACACAATTGAAGCCAATTCTACTATTCTGGTTGCAGTCTGAACACCTATTGCTATCTTACTCGACTAGTAAGGAATTAAAACTATTCTTTCAAGTTTGAATTACCAACATAGTTTTGAAGTAACTGAAAAGTCATTTTCAAGCATGGTTGCTATGAACACAAATTTGACAATGAAACATCTTCCAAGCCTAAAAGATCCCAGAAGTTAAACAAGCTTTGATCAGAACAGTTTGTGTGATTTTGTGTGAGTCAGATAATGAACTTTTACAATTAGGTCAATGCACTAGCAGCACTGCTCTAAGGACAGATGGAATTGATTTTTCCATTAGGCTGCATGCATTAGGGACTCCACATGATAAAGCAGTCCAAAGCAAAAACTGGTTGCTGTTATCCATTTGCTGCATATTACCAAGGCTGAGCTGTGGGAACAGCATGGGTATTTTTGCCAATGGAAAACAGGATACAAATATTGTTCCAAAAGCTGTATTACTGTGGATATAGGGAGCTATTCAAGCATTTATATTTCCTAAGCTGTAAGCTCTCCTGGATTTTGTGAAACCCAGGAAGCTTTTTCCAAAACATTTATATATAAAAATTCTGTAAACATGGAAGTATATAAACAAATAAAAGTCTTTTATTAAGTCACACCTTAGTCAAAATATTTTTAATACTCAGAAAGAAAGAAAATACAACATTCATCCAACACATGCCTTCAGTGAGCACAAAAGGGAATAAAATCAAAGAGGATAACTGCTGCTATTAAGGGCCAGATTTAAAGATACACTAGAAACAAGTGAACAAGTTAAGCTGCCTACCGATGAGAGGGCCTGGAAAAAAGCTAAAAAAAAAAATCAGAATAAAACGCTTTTCTCCGTTTTTTGCAAAGCCTCTTTTTTGTTTTTTCAAAAATTAGAAAAAATAATAATAGAATATTTTCTTTTGGAATGATGAATAAAATAGTCCAGAACATGTTTTAATATATTCCCCAAAATATTTTCTAAAAATGATGTAATAGACGTTTAAGATGATGCACAATATCAGATTATAATTCTTGTGCACTGAGAACAAACAAGTCTTAATTTGCAAATTGAGACTGAAATGCTCAAATGTAGGAGTAAGATGTAGCTCTGTTTCTAAGGGACACTGGCATTATTACGGAGGAAGGAAGGTTTCAGCTTCTGCTTTACTTGTAGGCCTCTTCCTGTTGGCACAGTGATGAATCTGTTTCTGTCTGCCTGACTACACCTCAAAGAAAAAAGTACTGAGCATCAAAAAGGAGCCTAAAGTACACTTACATGAATGATAAAAGTTTAAATCTGAATTCAGAAAACTGACTGCATTTTAACTGCATTAGTTTATCTTCATAACTTTTATGTAAAAATAATTCCAATGAATCCGAATTTCGTAGCAACCCCTGCTCCCAACATAGCTCAGTATTTACTGGCAAGCTAGACTCAAAATTATTTTTTAATTTTCACTCACTTCAACAAAATAGTGAGACCAATATCTAGTATGTGGAGGCATTTCCACACTGCATGTTCTTCTGACAGAAATGCAATTTGCAAATACTGTCAAACAGTAATTTCCAAATACTACTAGGATGACAGAGTATATTGTGTAAAAAGTATCCCAAAGACATTAAAAATCTTTCATAGATATAAAAGAAGACGACCATAATATTTATTTATTTAAAACTTTTCAATACCGTCCCATCACAGATGTCTCAGGGCAGTTCATGACAGCATTAATAAAATAGCATAAACATAGAAGTAATGATGGAGGTGCAGGTAGCGTTTCCCAACAATCTTACTCCAGAAGTCCTCTTTCTGCGCAATGTTTCTCCATCAGCAAAAAAATCCCTAAGTAAACAAGTATTACAAACAACTGCATCCAAAAATTACTCAGCAATCTCATTTGTAAAGATGAAACCTGAAGATTAGGAGAAAAGCAGAGCAAGCTCTTGCAAGAGCAACATCTTGTTTGGAACCCACTGTCAATAACTGGAAATGCACACTAGCAGGAATCCTTAAGACCAGCACACCATTTGCCCAGATGATTTTTTCCCCCTGATTTATAATCCTACCTTTTTCCTACAAAGGGCTCAAGGCAGCTTATATCATTCTCGTCCTCCATCTTATCCCCAGAACAACAACCCTGTGAGGTAGGTTGGGCTGAGAGCCTGTGAGTGGCCCAAAGTCACCCAGTTGGCTCCATGGCCGAGCGGGGACTTGAACCCGGATCATCTGAGTCCCAGTCCCATGCTCGTAACCACTACACCACACTGGCTCTCATATTCTTTGAGCAATCCTCTCTTAGATTAAAACTATGAAAGGATAATGGAATCTGGGGGGGGGGGGAATTAAAAAGCACCATGTCTTTCAATACTTACAAATGTGGGTAAAATTGTGAAGGAAGAAGAAACCAAACAATGCGATTAAAACAACTGGTTCATATGTTGTTAACAAGCACTGGAACAGAAAAGCACAGACATACTGTACAGCATATCAGCTGTCAAGAATGTGATGATCTACAGAAAATTGGGAGTGGTAAAATATTTGCTGAGTGGCAATACAAGTAGTATGCAAGTGGCATGGGTCATGAGTATATTATTGCAACAGGATGCACATGACATGGACGATATTTGCTGCGTTATCTCATGAAGTTGCACTCCCCGCAAAGATCTACGGACAAGCAAAAGAAATGTTAAATGCAGAAAATCTATTCATATTGTAGCTGCTGTCTTCAAAAAGCAGTAAGAAAAAATGCAAATAATAAAATAGTGACACCAAAAATCTGCAGTAAAATTCCATGAGGTAGGGTGAGCACCTTTCAAGATTTACTTGAAAAAAAATCTTGAAGAAGCAATAAAAAGTGAAACACCCAAAAGCATAAGGAATGCTGTACTTGATAATAATGTCTTCTGGATTCAAGTGCACAACTCCCTGAAAGTTTAAAGCCAACTTCTTCAGCAATCATTGCACATAAATCAGACAGAGAAGTTTTGTCAGAAATCCCTTACCAAAAGACAAAGATAAAAACAACTGTTTCTGAAAATCTAAATTTATCTCCACTTTAGAATACAAAAGATTCATGCAGGAGGAGACTATCACTAGCCTTGCTGGCTATGTGCTATCTCTTTACCCAGAGGTAGCACGCCTGCAAATACTAGCCGGAGGTATATGGGCAGAAGGAGGTCTTGCAGCCATCTGCTTGAGTGATCTTGTGGGCAACTGGTTTGC